GAATACAGACTCAAAAATGCTAGCACAATGAATCTACAATGTGTAAAGTAAAGATTGCATGCTATTATCAAATACTATTAATTCCAAGAATGCAAGTTTGGTTTATCAACTAAGAAATAATGAATTTACTACATTATATCAATAGACAAAATGGGCAAAACAGCTAATTATCTCAATATATATCGAATAAAGAGTCCAGAAGATTCAACACAATTTCATTATACAACATCTTAAATTAGTAATAGAAGAAATATCCTCAACTTAATAGAGAGCATCTATGAAAAGTCAATAGTTAGTATAATGTTTAGGGATGAAAGACTTGATATTTCTTTACTAAGATCAGAAACATGACAAGGATGTCCACTTCAGTCTTGTATTATAAATTCTATCCAGGGAAACTGGGGAAGAAAAATAAAATGCACCCAGACTAAAGAAGGAGTAAAACTATTTTTCAGTGACATGATCATGTATGTAGAACACACCAAAGAATCCACTCAAAAACTCTTAAGATTAATAGAGACATTCAACAAGAATGAAGGGTATAATAAAACCAAGTATATACAAACAAGTCATATTCTTGTACGTTAACAGTAAAGAATCTGAAAATGTGGCTAAAAATGTACAAAAACAGCAAAAGAAAATGCTCAGGAATAAATTTAATAGAAGAAATAGAAGACTTTTATGCAAAAAAACTATAGCACAATGTTGACAAAAATGAAGGATTTAAATAATCGATAATATATTCCAGGCTGATGGGCTGAATAGTTTAATATGATTAAGATAGCAATATTGCCCACTTGATCTATAATCTCTTTCAAAATCCCAACTGGATATTTAATTCTTTTTTTACTGATATTGACAAGCAGTTACTAAGTTTATATGGAATATAAGGGACATGGAAGTCTCAAAATAATCTTGATGTAGAACAAGTCTTTGGTTCCAAAGTTTGTACAAAGCCACAGTGATTAAGAGAGTATAGTACTGGCATAAGGTAAAACATGATTGGTGGAATGAATGTCGAGCTCCCAAATAAACCTCTACATTATAGGCATTGATACAGGGACAACTGGAAATTTGCATGCAAAAGAATTAAATTGGACCCATATGTCCCACCATGCACATATGTGTGACATAGAGAATAGCTCAAAATTAATCACAGACATAAAGGCAACCTTAATAAATGTAAAAGTCTTACAAGAACACATGAGAATAAAGTTTTGTGACCCTAGGATAGGTAATGCTTTTTAGACATGAAACCAAAAGCACAAAAAACAAAAAACTAAGTTTGACTTCAAAATTAAAAGCATTTGAGCTTCAAAGGTCACCATGAAGAAACTGAAAACAATTCACACAATGAGAGATAATATGCACCAAAGTCTTTAAACTTCACTTATTTATTAAAAATGTGTTTAGGCCAGGGATTTAGCTCTGCAGTTCGGTGGCCTGCCTTGTAAGCGCAAGGACCCAAGTTCAATCCCCGGTACCAAAAAAAAAAGTGTTTAAATATGAGATTTACTTTAATCTCTCTCTCTCTCTCTCTCTCTCTCTCTCTCTCTCTCTTGTTTTGTAGATGTATTGTTGCTATCAATTTCTAATGTAATTCTATAGTGGTCAAAGAATAAATTCTGTATGATCTCAAAGCATTCGACGTTAATGTCAAGAGCATGTGATGCTCTTCTTATGGCGCAGAAACCTGAAGTAGTTTCTATAGTGTTCTATAAATATAAATCAGATCAAAGTGCTTTACAGTACTGTTCTAAACTTCCAGGACTTAACTAATTTTCAATAGGTATTTTATGATTTATTGAGAACAAATGTTAAAGTCTCCTGTGAATCTGAAAGTGACTTTTTTTTCCTTCTTAATCTTAATTTTTACTTCATTCATTTTGAAGCTCTGAGATAGACATACAGTTTATAATCAGGATGTCTTCCTGATGAATTGACTCTTATCTTTATGAAACGTCTTTATTTTCTGTTCAAATCTTTGTCTTCAAGTCTATTTTATCAAACATTAATGTTATAATTCTAGCCATCTTAGTTTTACTACTTGTATGGTGTGTCTCTCCTGTTTAATTTCAAATGTATCTATTTCTCTATATTTAACATACTTATTTGAATGGAGTCCTCTCAAGATTGGCATGTATCGTTATCTTTTTCTTTGAAGTTGCATCTAAATTTCCTGGCTGTTTATATGTCAAATAATTTTGAATTATACCATGGCTATTGGGAATATAATGTTGTGGACAATGGATTTTGTTACATTTTCTGAAACATACTGATTTAATTTTAATTTTAATGTAATATAAATTGATATTAATAAAGAAAATATAATGAAAAATAAAACAAAATTTTATAAAACAAAATAATTAGGGAATAAGAATAGTTAATATGCTGTGTATCAATATATTAATGGCCAAAGTATTGCTCAGAGTTCAAGTCATAAATTAAAAAATACACTCTTACAAATAAGAAACAAAGGGACAACACTTTCTTTTCTTTGAACAAAAGCAACTAGTTGCATAAATGAAGCAAATCGGCATTTATCTTAAAATATTTTTGAAATGACACAATAAATAATTTGGAGAGTTATTAGAACTTCTCCCTATCTCCTACACTATGGAATACTGCTCTACCAAAAATAAAGATAGTCTTGAGATATTTGTAGCCAAATGTATGCAATTTGACAATATAATGTTAAATGAAATAAATCAGATAATAAAGTTATATTTTCTTTTTAGTAGGTATTTAAAATAGTTAGACCCAAACTGCAAAGTATCCTAATCAAGGGAGCAGTGGCTCAGATTTTAGTTGTGTTCTTTTTGGTCCTATATTTACTTTTTTTGACTGTTTCCAGTTTGTTGTACATTTGCATATTTATAAGATGTTACACATAACATTTAGGGTTGGGCTGCCTTGGTTGTCTCCTTTCCAGAATGGATTGCTCACTCTCCAACTAGAAAATTTTCTGGTTTATAATCATAGCTGTTCCATGCTGCTATGTCATCGAGGTTATCCTGAGATAAAGCTGTAAAAAACGGGAAATTTACTTTGTGCTGGTTATTTGGTCTAAGTATTAACTCCTTTCTACAAATATGTCTATTCCATGCTGTCTTCAGAGCCACCATGTATTTTGGCTGATCTATTCATTTGTTTTTGTCTAACATTTAGAGCTGATATTTGTAGATCAACATGTTAAGTCTTGAGTCCTCCATAGTGGAAGTGGAAACCCCAGGTGGGTTAAATCAGCCCTAAAACAGATAATTAACTGTTTCTGCAGATAGACCATATTCACTTGGGATTGACCAAAGCCATGGGCCTTAACAAAATGGATTCATCAGAATACGTGTGTAAGGATTCTGGGTTGGACCAATTAACAGTGAAAGGTCTAGTTATGATCCAAATGGTATGCTAAAGCAATTAGATGGGTGAACAGAATTTGAAAAGGAAATCTGAGTTGGAAGTAGATATGGGGGAATTAGCAGTGCTTACTTACCATATATAGTGTCTAAATGTGTGATACTGGATGAAACGGTTACAGAAATACATGTAGAACAAGAAGACTAAATGTCTGAGGACTTGAACTTGTGATACTTCAGAGTTTAGAAGTCAGGAAAACAAGGGAAATTAAGGAACAAAACACTGACAATAAGACACTTGGGCTTGTAGAATATGAGGAGAATCAAACAAATGTTTCAAGAAAATTGGATTATGATAATGTTAAATGACCCTAATAAATGAAAAAGATGAGAACTAAAAATTGAACAGTGAAACTGGAATCATGAACATTACTGATGTTGAGTCTAACAGTGCAGTTTGTATGAAATAGTTGAAACTCTTCAGGGAATTCAAGAAAAAATGGGAGGAGAAGAAACAGCTAAAATGTATACAAGTTGGGCCGGGGCTTTAGCTCAGTGGTTCCGCCACCTGCCTCCTAAGTGCAAGGTCCCAAGTTCAATCCCAGTACCAAAAGTAAAATAAAAAATATACAAATCTTTTTTGAACCATTTGAAGTAAAGTGGTACAAAGAAATGTGACAGCAATTAAAGAAAGCTAATGTCAAAAATATCTTTATGAGGCATATCACACAATGTTTATTTGTTAACAAGAATAATTTAACAAAGAGGGAAGACTAAGAATTCAGTATAGCACTTGCTAAGTATTTTGTCTAAAGTACTAGATATCAAATATTTTAGACTTTGTGGGCCATATAATCTGCCATGACTACGATCCTCTTCCATGACAGCACACAAAGAGCCATTGTAAATGAATAGACATGGCTAAGTAGTAGTAATGCTTTATTTTCTAACAGATGAAAGATGGGATTTTGGTTGTGGGTCATACTTTGCTGACTTTTGATACAGGACAAAAAAAGGATAAGAGTAGGAATTAACCTACTAAATAGGCAAGCCTTGATCAGACCCAGCATACAAGTATAGAGGTTATCATCTGATAAAAAGAGAAAATGCATGTATCCATTTCAATAGAAATTTAAAGAAAAATGATAACTCTGATGCAGGTAGAATGGAAGATTATGACTGATTAACTTTTCTTTTGTTTCTATTTTCTGAGATTAGGAAATGTTAAATCATCCCTCTGACTTTAATTATCCAATCTATCTCTAGCAAACACGGCTAGCATTGCCTATCTGTATCCCAACTCCTGCTACCAGTAACACAAGCACTTTATACCAGAGGAAAGAGATAACGCAAATCAATGTCTGTTGGTTCTCGCATAACCATAATTCTGCTTCCTAGTCTTCAAAGACCTAAAAGATATATCAGAATAGGAAATCAAGCTGCTAGAGCTAATTTGAACCTTTTATTGAACCAAATGAGATTCTAAATATTTGCAAATTCATTGTGTTTTTTTAAAACTAAAAGTACCCTAACATTTCTTTAACTCAAGTCTGTATGTTATGAGAAGGAAAATAAACCTGTCTCACAATTCCTTTACTCACCACTTCTTTTCAAATAATTTTTTATCTAAATATGTTTAGTTTGGTGCTCACTTGGGAAGCACCTATACTAAAATTGGAATGATATAGAGAAGATTAGCATAGCCCCTGAGCAAGGATGACACAGAAATTCGTGAAGCGTTCCTTATTTTTAAAGTCTTTGTAAATAGGGAAGGGTGGGGGGGTGAAGAGAGGGCAGGAGTATGGGGAAAAATGAGAACCAAGATACATCATGTAAAGGTACAAGATCCCAATGATGAATGTAACTGTACTGTATACATAAACGGTTCCAATAAACTTAATGGAAAAAATATGCTTAGTTTGCTAGAGCAATAATGTTTCGCATTGTATAAAATGAGTAAATTTTAACATCACTAAGTTGTATAAAGCATTTTATTTGGGTGAAGGTATACTTTTCTGGCAGCCAACATTATATTACAGAAGGTGCTGTAAACCACAGAGATTGCCAGAGTAATAGCAGTGCTGATATAGATATTTGAGAAAGTCATATTTTCTGAGAGACTGAATGTATCGGCAAGTGCTTTCCAGATGGCCCATCTTCCCTACTCCTCCAAATTTCAAGGTAATTGAAAATGTTAGTGGCTTGGAATCTACTGGGTTTGAGGCCATATTACTTCAGTCTTATGGGTAAGAAGCCTACAGTCACCTTATGCAAGATTTTTAAAGTAGAAATAGTACAGACAGATTTAAAAAAACAAATCAAAGGCAAGTATTTCTCAGATCAGACAGAATTTTTTGAAAATAGTTTCCCACCTTCATGTTGAAGACTTAAAATGATTTATTGTAGTCCTAATATTTTCCCTCCACAAGGCACAATGCTCCATATTTTCTAGAGAAAATAATACATTCAAGGAGAAATGGGAGTAAAATATAATTAATATTAAATTTATTCTTGATTATATTAGGTGACATGTTGAAAATGTAATAAGACATTAGGGCACTTTAACTTAATGAATGTTTAAGAGAACAATTTCAGGAATTTAGGAAAGTTACTGAGTGTCTCAAGATCTGTTTTCTCATCTGTACAACAGAAATACCTCTATCAGTCCACTTCACAAGTTTAATACAAGTGATGTTTCACTACTGGATTTGTCAGTATGGAGAGGAACTTACAGGCACAAAAGACACAGAAAAAGAGTCAGGTGGCTTCACTGCGTCAAACTATGATGTAATACAAGGTAAGGGTAGAAGAAAACTGTACTTATACACCCAGGTCATTCTACGTCAATTACTTTAGCTACAAGTACATCCAGATTTTCTCTGATGCATAATGTTAGATTATTAAATCTTATTGCACAATGAGTAGGAATAGTTTTGCGTTTCTATCTGAGATCTTTTAGCATTATTGTTATAAAATATTTTAATCAAACATTGCATAGCCTTAAACTTAAGTTTGTTGTTCCTCTTCATTGGTATCAGATAAACTGAAATGCCAGACTCAGTTTCTTTATATGATGTTTATTAACAATCATCACTGTGTCCCATAAATTTGTACAACTAAAATATCAACTAAAGAAAAATCTCAAAAAGAAATAAGATGAGACTTTCTTTGAAAGAATTTAATTGATCCTAATAGGAAGCTGAACCATCCGAGGGGTCCATCAACTCCTTCAGTCTGTTGTGGAATCAGTGGAGAAATCTCTAATCGCTTCTCTCACAGGTGAATGCCATGGGTCCCAAATTATGCAGGGTAGCAGGAATTTCCTAAAAGACCTGAGATTTCTTAGTGCTTAAAATCGTTAATGTGCCTTCAGTGCTTAGTCATTAGCATAGAATGATTTAGGCATAGGGACAATCTAACTTAAATTGAAAATTGTGAAATAATTACAAATAACAGGGTACTGAATAAAAGTTCTTCTTTTTCTTTTTATTGAGTTTAAAGGTTCTTGAACATTAGTGTCAGATGGACAAAGAAAAATCTTGCCATAAAACAAAACAATAACCAGAAATAGATCCAGAGCCTTTTGCTTATTTGTTTATATCTACCTCATATTTTTACAAAATCTTTACCGTTTAGATATATATTATAACTGGGATCGAACTCAGGCCCTTGTGATTGCAAGGCAAGCAGTGAAACGACTGAGCTAAATCCTCAGCCCTTAGAAGTTTAAATGCCACAGTATCTATTTCATTGATTTTCCAAGCCTTACCATCTTCTCCTTTGGTAAATATGTTATTCAATTTGAAAATGGGGCACACTAAAACTAGATGTGTTTCTGAGGTTATGGAATTGAAGACACTAAACTGCTTTATTTTACTTTAGGACTGTACTTATTAGAATAATTCAAATGACATTTTAATATATACGTTTATGGAGCTGATGGTGGCACAAATCATCCCCGCCTAATATAAAGACCCGATTCAAAAATGGGCATCTGAAATGAACAGACATTTCTCAGACAAAGAAGTAAAAGCAGCAAGTAAATACATGAAAAAATGTTCCACATCACTGGTCGTTGGAGAGATGCAGATGAAAACAACACTGAGTTTCCACCTCACCCCACAAAGAATGGCTGCTATCAAGAAATCAAACAATAACAAATGTTGGAAGGTTTGTGGGGAGAAAGGAACCCTTCTCCATTGTTGGTGGGAGTGTAGGCTGGTGTAACCACTATGGAAATCAATATGAAGATACCTCACAGAGCTGGGACTAGAGGTTCCATTTGACCCAGACATCCCTCTGCTGGATATCTTTCCAAAATAATTAAAAGAATCATACCATAGTGATATGTGTGCACCTATGTTTATAGCAGCCCAGTTTGTAATAGCTAAAACTTGGAAAAAGCCCATTTTCCCATCAGTTGGAGACTGGATAAAGAAGATGTGGTTTTTCTATAAAATGGAATAGTACTCAGCCATAAAGAATGAGAAATTAGAGTCATTCATAGGAAAATGGATACATATTGAGGATATACTCCTAAGTGAAATAAATAAGTCACACATGTGTAAATACCAAATAGTTTCTCTGATGTGAAAAACTATAATGGTACATAAGATCCTAATGAGAAAATTGACAATGTGAAATCGGATGAAAAGGGCTAAAGGTGTAGGGAAAGTGGGAAGGGTAGGGGAAAGGTAATAAGGGAAAAGAAAAAAATAGGAGAAAATGAAAAATTGGAAATAAAGTGTTTTAGGAGGGGAGAAGGGGGTGAAGGGAGGGCAGGGACAAGTGGAAAAAATAAGAACCAAGACCTGTCATGTAAAGGTACAAGATTCAATGATGAATGTAACTGTACTGTATACCTAGAATGTACCAATAAACTCAATGAAAGAAAAAAATATATATGTTTACTTTCCCATAACTTTTTTGAAAATGATTCTGTTCTCCTTTTGGTCCACAGAAATGGAGCAGTTGTTAAATAATTCTAAACACAGTATACCAATCATGTATGTTTCCAATTGTACTTTCAATTTCACCATTGTCACTATTGTATAGTATTTTATTCCATTAAATTTTTATTATTTACTGATTTATTAGAAAAATCTATCTTAATCTCATGAGCAATATAAAATTAACATTCTTTTTGTAGAAATTGAGAGGTAGTTTAGATACACTAAAACTGATATACATTAGTCATACAGTTTGATGAATTTTGGTGTGTATTTATGTAGCCAACCCCACAAACATGACAGATATATTAAATACACCTCCCAAATCCTCTCGTGCTCTGAAATGTCTGGCACTACAGTTTCGCCTTTTCTGGGATTTCATATAAATGGTATCATATGCTATGCTGTCCTTTATGTTTTCAGTCTCTAACAACATATTTTTGTGATTTATCCATATTACTGTACATATCGATATTTAACTCCTTTTTATTACTGAGTGTTTGCAATAGTATGAATATAACAAAATTTCTTATTCCAGTCATCATTTGTTAGACACTTTTCCCCATTTGAAGCAAACATGAATAATGCTACTTTATAATTTAATAAATCTGTAGTGGTGAATTTTATGTGTCAATTTGATGGAGGCATGAGGTACCCAGATAGTCCATAGACAGTATTCTCCTGGATGTATCTATGAGGGCATTTCTGGATGTAGGAAGTGGGTAGAAAGTGTTCAAATGGGGAGCGGAATAAGGGAGAAAGAAGGCAGGAAGGAAGGAAGAGAGAAAACAGTGAAAATCGAAGGAAAAAATTAAAGCTTCTGTACAGAGGGAGGAGGGGGAGGCTTGAGGGGGGAATGAAATAAAATAAAATTTATTTTAAAATTAATTAATTTCACAATTGTTCATAACAAGGTACTGAAAAACACTGTCTAAAGAAAGACTAAAAATATTATGTAAATGTATGAGTTTCATGACAATCACTAGAACAAAGATTATTTTGTAAGTTTTACATATAGAAGTAACTGAAAAACACTAAATATATTTAATAAATGCAAATGGATATAGCTAATTTATTTTTTAAAATAGCTTGTTATTTTTAATAAATGCAAATAGAAACAACTGACTTATTTTTTAACTTATTTATTTTTAGTATTGAGCCTCAAATCAACATCTTCTCAGAGACTGAAATGAATTGATGGACAAAATAAATTTAACAATTAAAAATAGTCCCTGAAAAATTTTAAAATGGGGCTGTTTTTATAAAGCAGTAAGTGTGGGGGACACAGCTCAGTGGCAGAGTGGTTGCAAGGCCTGGGCAAGTCCCTGGTTTCAAACCCAAACACAGAAAACAAACAAGACTGGAAAAAGGAGATGTGGTTTTTCTATAAAATGGAATACTACTCATTCATAAAGAATGAGAAATTAGAGTCATTCATAGGAAAATGGATACATATTGAAGATATACTCCTAAGTGAAATAAATAAGTCACACATGTGTAAATACCAAATAGTTTCTTTGGTGTGAAAAACTATAATAGTACATAAGATCCTAATGAGATAATTGACAATGTCAAATAGGAAGAAAAGGGCTAAAGGTGTAGGGAAAGTGGGAAGGGCAGCGGAAAAGTAATTAGGGAAAAGAAAAAAATGTGAGAAAATGAAAAAATGGAAATAAAGTTTTTGTAAATAGGGAAGGGAGGAGGGGGTGAAGGGAGGGCAGGGATATGGGGAAAAATGAGAACCAAGACCTGTCATGTAAAGGTACAAGATCCCAGTAATGAACCTAACTGTACTGTATACC